ACTTTGCCACACAGTACAGTGCCGCAGGACAGGTGACCTCATTTTTCTTTGCTGCAGTTAAAGAAGAACTTTGGCCATAAGTGTTCTTAATCCTTGCAGTGAGGCTACACCTGCACTCGTTTTTGTCTAGAGACAAAAATAAAAAAAAGTTATATACTCACCTGAACCTTGCATCTGGCTGTTAGACCGGTCCCTGCCGCCTCGCTCCCCCTCCACAACGGCAGTCTAAGGTCCTGCGAGTCATCAAGTCCTGTAGGACATGAGGACAGCGAGAGACATTCCTTCCATTCCTGCTGGTGGGGAGGAGCAGACATTCAGCAGGAACAGAAGTAGCAGCCAGCCGGCTCAGAGAATCACAGTATAACTTTTTTATTTTCGTCCCTACACGAAAACGAGCAGTCCCCTTGTAGTGCAGGGGGAGCCCCACTGCAAGGGTGAAGAAGAATGATGCCCAGAGTTCTTCTTTAAGGAGAAGCAGCACACAGGGAAGTTTATCTCTCAGTCACCCTACTCATTCCAATCATCATTCCCTACAAACCTACAGTACAACCTATTGGCTCCTTGTGCTGCTTCCACTCCTCTAGCCTGAGCTGTGCTATAATGTGGGTCTGCAAGAGTCCGAAACCGAGTCAAATGTAGGTACTTACACTGTTTGCATTCAAAATAAAAATGTGACCTAAGAGAGCAAGAACGTTTACAGTGATAAAGTAGTGGTATGCTGTGCTTTGGTTGTCAGCTATAAATAATCTATACACATGGAAGCAGACCTAGATTTATGGACAGGCCACAAAGTAAGACAGGGAACTTTCAGATGGAGGATTCCATTGCTGAACTCCACCTGAAAATGCTGGCTGTTCGCATGCATCTCGTCTCACCACTTCTGGATCACTGACCCAGAAAGAGCCAGCAGTAAATGAAAGTAAAAAAGTTGAACTTCCTTATCTATATACTTTTTTTTTCCCCAATAGAAGGAGCTTAGACGAAAAAGCACTGAAGGATAAGGGAAGTAAAAGTACCTTATAATGGTAGTCTAGGCAAAAGTGAGCATTTAATCCTGGGAGCCCCACTACAAGGGCAGTTTTTTTTTTTACATTTTCAGTAGGGATGTTCAGATACCAGTGCCGATACTTGGAATTTTAACGAGAACTACCAGGGTTGCAGCTGTGGCAGAGCCCTGGCGCTACACCACTGTCCTGAAATCATTAGTGCGTATTGTTTTATCAATAATTGTATCCGAGCACTTGGACAAGTATCGGTACATGGTCTGAAAATAATTGAATTGGTGCATCCCTAATATAAATATTAGGGATGCACTGATACAGAGTCCCTGCCCAAATGCTCCCGATGCCTATCCCAATACCGGAACTCCTGGTATCAGGAAGCCGGGCGTCGAGTCATTACACACTGCCTCATCACCAGGGAGTATGGAGCTGGCTTCCCGGCCAATCAGGAAGTTCCGGTATCAGGAAGTCGGGGTCGGGTAATGACTAAAGCCCACCCCCACCCCCCAGCTCCATACTCCCAGGTATGAGTACTCGCACAAAGACTTGGTATCAGCGCATCCGTAATATATATTTTTAGGATGCACCAATACCATTTAGGGATGCACTTGGTGACAAAGGAGCATGGAGCCGGCTTCCCGGCCAATCAGGAAGCCAGGCGACGTGTAATGACTCGCCGCCCAGCATCCAGATTGGCCAGAAAGCCGGCTCCATGCTCCCTCATCACGAGGTAGCATGGAAACGACTTCTTGGGTAACCGGAAAGCCGGGCGACAGGTCATTTCATGCCGCCCAGCTTCCTTAATGGGACTTCGGGTATCTGTATCGCCGAGTACCGGAAAAAAAAAATATTGGTATTCGATACCCAAAAAAATTGTATTGATGCATCCCTAATAAAATATATAACAAAATCATACATTGAAACAGGAATGCACAAAGCCCAGGAGCCCTGCATGCTCCTTAAAAGTGACAGCTGCTTCCTAACTTTTGAGTTTTTCTCTAGTCTGGTCTTGGAGCTGGAAAAGTATCTGTACTTGTATCAAGTACAGTACTTGGTATCTGACTGAACATTCCATAATTTTCAGCTTTACTGTCATGACAGTTTCAGTAACAAAGGTTTTAGAATGAACTTGGCACTGTGTAATGGCCACTATAGACCTCACTGTACCTCTGCTATAAGAAAAATGCCTAGTGGCAAATGGACCCTGCTTAACAGTACTTACATTTCTGCACACACAGGAAGTATCAGTATACACACATACATAGGAAGTCAAGTGCAGGGGGATCAGCGCACACACACACACACACACACACACACACACACACACACACACACACACACACACACACACACACACACA